GGCCTTCCTCCCACACGCCCACCCACAAGCTGAGTACCTCTTCTGGTGGTTTTGTTATTCACTGGAATATCTCTGCCATGCATATTCCAGGCTATTATCATCATCTGTTTACATGGCTGTCACCTCATGAGACTGAGTTATTTCATGTGGAGAAGTATGTCTTATATCGTTCTCATGCCTTACTATCAAAGCCTGGAACTCTCTGAAGAGCTGAATAAAATGGTTTTGAGTGGTTACATAAACAAACACAATTGAATAAAAGTTTTGTGGAAAATGCCTCTAGGAGCTTCCATGGCTAAGCGGATGAAATTATAAGCAAAATAAAACGAATTTTCAACAATATTCAAGGATTTCAATTTTCTATATCCTTATAGCAGTGCCTAAGGCATCTGACTGCTAACTAGAAGGTTGGTGGTTCAAACCCATCAGCTCCTCTGCATAAGGAAGCCTGGGCAATCTAGCTCTGTAAAGATTTACCTCCTCAGAAACCCAATGGGAGTCGCTATGAGTTGGAATTGACTCGACGGCAATGAGTTTTTTCTTTTGAATCTTTTAAAATAGAACAATAATTTAAAATAATCTTTTTTAAAATTTAGTAGATACTTCCTTAACTCCTTCAAAAGGAAGACTGGGTAATATACTTCTGTAGAAATACCACCTCAGAAACCCAAGGAGGGGTCTCTATAAGTTAAATCAACTCAACGGCAATGAGTTTGGGTTTTTTGGTTGGTTTAACTCCTTGTTCAAAAAAGCAATGTAAACTTGAAAAGGTTCATGGGACATAATTAAACCAAGGCTCAGAGGAAAATTCATAGCTTTAAATATAGTGAAAAACAGGAATGAATGAAAATAAATTTAGCACCCGACTCAAGAAATCGAGGGCAAATAACAAAATAAACCTAAGGAAACCAAAAGAAAGAAATCAGTAAAGATGACACAAGAAAAAAATAATTAAATTAGAAAAGAATAAAATGAATAAATATACCCAGAATGAACCTTATCAAACATGGGGCAGGGGGAGAGGGGATGGATATCCATTAAGCCTATGAGGCAAATGAAAAGAGAAAAGAAAGTACAGCTACAAAATGGGAGTTGAAAACAAAGACATAACCACTGTTGCTGCTGTTAAGTCAATTTCAACTCCTAGTGACCCTACAGGACAGAGTAGAACTACTCCAAAGGGTTTCCTAGGCTGTAATCTTTACAAGAAGAAATCACCAGGTCTAGAGCCGCTGGTGGGTTCCAACAGCTGACCTTTTGGTTAGCAGCTGAGCACTTCACCACTGTGCTACCAAGTCTTCTGGGAAAAAACAGTTAAAGGAAAATCAAAAGGATTTAAAGAGACTACTGGACACAATGTTGTTCCGGATGATAGCTAAGTTTAACCTTTTATACTCATAGTCTGGAGAGAAGACTAAGGCTGACACACTCCCTTCTTGATTTTAAACCATGCAGTGTCCCCTTGTTCTGTTTACACAGCAGCATTCTGGTCTATGTACAGGTTCCTTGTGAGTATAGTTAAGTGTTCCAGAATTCACATTCTTCTCAGTGTTATCCATAATTTATTAGGATCCACACAATCAAATGCTTTTGCATAGTCAATAAAACACAAGTAAACATCTTTCTGGTATTCTTTGTTTTCAGGCAAGATCCATCTGACATCAAGAATGATATCCCTCATTCCATGTCCTCTTCTGAATCCACCTTGCATCTCTGGAAGTTCTCTGTCAATATACTGCTGCAACCGTTTTTTAATTATCTTCAGTAAGATTTTTACTTGCATGTGATATTAATGATATTGCTCAATAATTTCCACATTCTGTGGAATCACCTTTCTTTGGAATTGGTACAAAACTGAATCTCTTCCAGTCAGTTGGCCAGGTAGCTCTTTTCCAAACCTCCTGGCATAGCCAAGTGAGTGCCTCCAGTGGGGCATCCATTTGTTGAAACATCTCAATGGGTATTCATCAATTCCTGAAGCCTTGTTTTTCGCCACTTCCCTCAGTGCAGCTTTGATTTCTTCCTTCATTACCCCTGGTTCTTGATCATATGCCAGCCACCTCCTGAAATGGATAAAGATCAACCAGTTCTTTTTGGTACAGTGACTCTGTGTATTCCTTCCATGTTCTTTTGATGTTTCCTGTATCATTCAATATTTTGCCCATAGACTCTTTCAATATTGCAACTTGAGGCTTAAATTTTTTTTTCAGTTCTTCAGCTTGAGATATGCCAAATGCGTTCTTCCCTTCTGGTTTCCTAACACCAGGTCTTTGCACATTTCGTTATAATAACTGACTCCATCTTTTCAAACTGCTCTTTGAAATCCTCTGTTCAACTTTTCTATCTTATCTTCCATTTTCTATAGCTACTCTCTGTTTAAGGGCAAGTTTCAGAGTCTCTGCTAACATTCATTTTGGTCTTTTCTTCCTTTTTTTGCTTTCTTCATGGATGATGTTCTTGATGTCATCCCACAATTCCTCTCGTTTTTGGTCATTGGTGTTCAATGCATCAAACCTATTTTTTAGATGGTCTCTAAATTCAGGAGGGAAAAAAGGTGCCAGAGCTTATATCAAACCATTATATGCTATTAGATATTTACCAGAAAGAGGGCAACAGAAGACAGAATTTTCCAAATTTCAAATTAAGGAATTATTTTTTCTGAAGGGAAAGAGCCAAAGTAACATATGACTGAACTTTTCAGTAATGAAGCCCTTCCGATAAGAGCCCTCCACTTCTGCTGAGTCGGATCCAACTCACAGCAGCCCCTCCTTGGGTTTCCGAGGCAGTATCACTATGAAAGTAGATTGCCCAACCTTCCTTCCGAGGAGTGGCTGGTGGGTTTGAACCACCAGTCTTCTGCTTAGCAGTCAAGTGCCTTAGGCACTAAGGCACCGATAAGATGGTACATCTTAATAACACAGTATTTTACCCCAAAACTTACTTTTTTCCAAAGTAAATTATAAACCATGCATTGTTGAAAGCCTTTTATGTGTAAAATAACAGTATTTTCCAAGTATATACCATTTATATTTTGCAAAGAGGTTTCTAAATACTATCCTCATGACCCTATCACAGTTTTCTCATCATCAGATGAAGACACTGAGGTCAAGATTAGTTGAGTGAACTTCCTAAGATCGCACTATTGTATTTTTACACAAATAACATGCACCTTCTACCACTGTTTGCCAACTGCACCCTTCCCCTTCAGAGGTATTTTCGTAAGTGTGATATGTTAATACATTTTTTTTTTTTTTTTTTACATATTGCTGTAAAAAAAACTTAGTATAGCACCTTATGAAAATACCTGGTGGTGGAGGGAGGAGAGGGCATGGCTGGCAAACAAAGGAGAAGGTATACATTATGTAAAAATATAGTAGTCTTTGGTGGCTAGTTCAAATCTCTTTTATTATTCTACCTGTTATTACACAGTACAGCACCTCCTTTAGTACAGTACGAAGCATCAACCAGCCTACTGCCAGAACCCTACAATTTAAGGCTCCTAGCTAATGGCAAGTTTGGATCCCTAGGAATAGGAGTCTGATGGACTCCCAGCAGTAAAGTTCTCAAGGAGCCCTGGTAGCACAACAGTTAAGTACTTGGCAGGGAATAAAGGTTGGTGGTTCAAACCTACCCAGTGGCTCTGCAGGAAGAAGCTCTGGTACTCTGCTTCTGTAAAGATTACAGCCAAGAAAACCCTATAGGGCAGCTTTATTACAAGTCAAAATCTAATCGAGGGTACCTAACAACAAAGTTCTTCTTGACCCTGACTGACATAAAAGCATTCAGCTACAAACCAAAGGGTTGGAGGTTCAAATTCACCCAGAGATGCCTCAGATAAAAAGCCTGACAATCTAATTCTGAAAGATCACAGCTACTTTTCAGTAGCACAGTTCTACTCTGACACACAGAGTTGTTGTGAGTTAGAATTGACTCAATGGCAAATGGTTGGTTTGTTTTCTTTTTCCAGAGGGGGAAATTTTTCTTAGGCGAAAGATGAACTGAAGTGGGGTAACTTTCCAATAAGGATAAATTCACCTCAGATTCCCACAGAATCCAGATCTTGCCACTTGGCAAGCTTCTAAGCCTATCAGATGATAGCAGGTAAAAACATTCAAGCATTAATGTTGGTTATGTTTTACTCTACAATCTCAAAGCCAGTCTCTTAATGTCTTGGTACTTCCAGCTACTCATCTATAAATTAAAAGCATATCATCTAGTCGGTGACTCAATGCCAAAGATGTAACAAATCACTGGCCCTCTCCTCCTTACAGTCTCTTTGCATTGCCAACTTCCTTCCCATTCTACCATGCCCCAGACATTATAAACCTACCGTGTAACTGTTTCACTCTTCTAAGACTCAACCCTACCCTGGTAAGATTCTCTGCTTCTTCTTTCACCGTAGCCTCCTCATCCACTACCTTTAAATCTCTGGGGATTAGAGAAAGAAAAAAATAACCGCTGCCTCACCAGCTGAGCTGAGGTTGAAGTGAAGCCAAGTCTTTGAGAGGCTTACCTTTAGTTTTGGTCCTAAATTTTTAGACAGAGAAGTAGGGAACCACCAGGGAGCAGTGTGCTGCCTACTTTCAGCATGTGCTTGAAGTAATTTTCAGCTTCATTTTTTCCTAGACTTGATTATCACTATAGAGTTGTCACCAATTAAGGAATCGAACACAACAGAGATAGACACAACTGTGGAGTTAAATTATGGTAATTCTTTTGGAGAACTATGATGCCATTTAGCATTAAGGAAGGTGGGAAAGATAGGTTTCTACTTCCAGTTAAATACTATAGGGGTAATTAGTCAGGAGGAAAAGAATCTACAAAGTTCCTGAAAATTTCATCTAACTTCATAAGCTTACACATACACACACACGCACAACTAAAAGTCAACATCCTGATATCTAGTCCCAGCTCAGCCATAAACACAATACAAAGAAGGACAAAGAATTCAGTTATAAACCTTATCTTTGGGTCCAAAGAGCTCCTCACACTGTCCATACCTGCTGGGTGAGGAGATTTATGTGGCTGGATGGAGAATACTGCCGGGCCGCCTGCTTCTCTGCTAGCCGCTGAAGTTCAGCTGTGACCATATTGTGGCTGTACCATTTGCTGTAGGAAGAACCATCCTCGCCCTCCCTTTGTGCTTTGGTTACTGCTGAATGGTGCTTGCTTGAATGGTATGAACCTGCTAAGAAAAAAAAGAGAAAAAATTCTACCCACTTGGGACAAAGTCCTAAAAAGACACTGAAATAATGACAGAAGAAATCTCAGGCCCACAGATACTTTACTAGGGTCCTAGGGACCTAGTTTAAGCAGCAAGAAACTGTTTCTAAATGCTCACAAAAACAAAAATAAATCCTTACCATACCTAGCAACTAGAAATTCTTACTACTGCCAAATCATTACATGCATTTGTTAATGTGGTTGTGCTTACTACAAAAGTTTCACAAAGAAGAATTTTCATCATATGTAATGGTAAATAACCAATCCTAGAATTGATTACTCTTAGTGAATGAAAAAACATATCCTTGAATTTCATTATAATGTGTCTGTTTTAATGTGATGATACTTGTCAGTATTCTAAGGCAACCACCATCAACCACTCATAGTACTTCTTAAAAACCTCAAAAGGGAAACAGGAATAAAATCAAAACTGAGTGTATGTAGAGATTAACAGTAATGTTATAATCTCAAATGGCTGATTTTTCTTTAAGATTTAAATTTTTTTTCTTTCAAGTAGGTAGCGGAATTATACTATTTACAAGCACCAAAATTCTGGCAAAAAGGAATTATTTGCTATAAAATCAAAGTTGCTATTCTTCCCAATTATAAAAGTCACAAAGCCCAATGGGGACAAAAAAAACCACAAAAACCTAAAACTCAGAAAAGCAGAGAGGGAGAGAAATCATCCATAGTACTAACACTCAGAGCCTGCCATTGTTAACATTAACACTAATAACCATTAATGTTACTATTAATTAACACATTAACATGTTCACCTTCTGTCTTGTTATTAATGCTTACATAGCCATGACCATTCTGTATACAATTTGGTGATGCTCCTTAAAAAATAATCTGTACCCTTTTCCATATTTAATTTATTATTTGATACATACAAAATACCATTTATGACCAATATGTAAGTTATGAAGTATACCATAATGAACACTTGTGAACTTAACACCCAACCCAAGAACTGTGTTACCAATAATATGCATCAACCCACGTTCCCCTTCCCATCCCTTATCTTCTCTTACCCGTCCTTTTTTAAAAATGCAGTCCTATTGTAGTAGCTTCTTGGGACTTGCTTTTGTTAATCAACACCATACCTCCAAGATTTATCCTTGTTATTTCAGTACCACTGAAATTGACCCATTTTATCTGCTATCTGCTATTCCATTTTGTGACTAATACCACACCTTATTTTTCTATTCCCCAACCAACAGGAGCAATCTTATAACAAGTTGAAGTTCAATCCATTACATTTATTTGAATCTGGATTTTTTAAGACTTGTATTACATCTTTTAAATTTCTATTTCTCTTTTCTTCTATGCTTCTTGGTTTTATGCTCCTGTTTGTTTTTGTTGCTGTTTTCCTCATTCCACTTTCCTTCTCCCCATAGGTTTAGAATTCACATATTCATATTGTTTTAGTGGTGATCTTTGAAACTTGAAACTGTGCATTTAACTTTAAAAAGTCTAAGATTAAATACTAAATAGTACCTTGACTCCCTTCCCAAACAATTCAATCACCATAGAAAACTCAACCCCTTTACTTTCATGCTATTGCAGTCTACTATTTTATTGTTCTAGTAGACCGTAAAGAAGCCTTGAAAATTTTCAAAAGATTCAAGTCACACAGAGTATGTTCTCTGACCACTGTGGAAATAACCTAGAAGCCAATTACACAAAGCAGAAAATCCCCCAACTCCTGGAGATCAAACAATATGCTTCTAAATAATCCTCAGGCCAAACAAGAAATCATAAGAGAAATTATGAAACATTTCTAAGCTGACCAGCTTTTCCCTTCCTGATCCCTCTCTGAAAAAAAGTATGAAAAAGGAACATTTCTAAAAAAAACTTTTGATGACAAAATAGGCTAAACCAAAACCAAAACCAGACTCACTGCCATTGAGTTGGATCTGACTCACAGCAACCCCTGCTTGGGTTTCTGAGACAGTATCACTACAGAAGTAGATCGTCCAACCTTCCTTCTGAGGAGTTTGGACCACCAGCCTTCTGCTTAGCAGTCTAGAGATATTAACCTTACTGATTTCCCCTATGGGGAAAAAAAAAATCTCAAACCAGAACATTTATTATTACTGTTACTGGTTTTGGAAAATTAAATCACAAGAAAAATGATCATCCAGTATTAGCACAGATGCACATACATGCACACACATATGCACACGTTTCTATTTATGACTTACCCAAGTAGACCGTCTGACATATCTGATTCAAGCTGTTACCATATGGATATGTTACCATATGGATTATATCCATTTAATTTGAAATCAGGTACGGATTCACAAATATAGATTGGCTATTTATGGTTTAGCTATAACTCACCTCAGTGTGGATATTCCTAAGTGTTTGAAAACTTGACTGATGTTAAAATATTAATCTATAGATTCAATGTAATCCCTATCAACATCCCAGCAGCTTTTTTGCAGAAAGTGACAAACTGATCCTAAAATTCATATGGAAACGCAAGGAATTGTTACATTTATAATCAACTGAGTGCTAGGACAATTAAACAGAAGAAGAGTCTTCAACAAACAGTGCTGGGACTACTTGCTACCTAAATATGCAGAAGAAATCAAGCTGGATTCCTACTTAACATCATACACAAAAATTAACTTAAAATGTATAAAAGATCTAAATGTATGAGCCTAAAATTAAAATAGGATAAAAAGATAAGATTCTTAGAAGAAAACATAGGAGTAAATCTTTGTGTCCTTTACTTATGTAATAGTTTCTCAGGTAAGACACCAAGAGAACAAGCAATCAGGAAAAAAAAAAGATAAATTGGACTTTATAAAAATTTAAAACTTCGTGCTTCAAAAAAGTGAAAAGATAACGCACAGAATAGGAGAAAATATTTGTAAATCACAGATCTATAAGGGACTTGTATCCAGAATATATAAAGAACTGTAGCAATTCAAAAATAAAAAGACAATAACCCAATTTAAAAACAGGCAAAGGGATTTAAACAGGTATTTCTCCAAAGAAAATATATAAGTGGCTAGTAAACAGATGAAAAGATGTTCAACATCATTAGTCATCAGGTAAATGTAAATCAAAATCACAATGACAAACTACTTCACCCCCACTGTTGTTGTTGTTGTTATGTGCCATCGAG